AGCTCAGGCCCCAGACGGGTCCGCGGTGCCTAAAATGGATGAAAATGCATTAGAAATTATTGAACTAACGGGGGGGGGAAGGGGTACTGAAAGACAGAGTGCAATCTTCCGCACAGATGAAATACCGATAAAATTCAGGAGAGGCAAAGGGGCAAAACTGTCTTGTATGGCCGCCTAAATATCTATTCCCCCCCGGCCAACTGTCTTCCATAATTGCTAGTTAAGCATTTAATTCTTCGCTAACGAGCGTAAATGAATTTGCAATTGTGTTGAAAGTTATCAAAGAATATTAGCTTAAAGCCACTCAGTCGTTTCAATGAGCTAAATATAATCAACTCCATCAATATAAACTCCTGTTGCTCAGGCAACTGATGTCTATTGATGGAAATTCAACCTTATATTGGCGGAATTTAACAAAAAAGGGGAAGTACGGATACCGAAAGTGTAAAAGTAGGTTATTTTTGAGTCAAAGGTAAATAGGGCCCCTAAAGACAGTCCTGCCGATTACTTTAATTACGGAGTTTCGCCCTGATTGATTGATAGACTGCAAGGGGCTTGTGGGAGAGAAATAATGACTAGGATATACTTGCAACCTTTTTAGCATTACATAACTGGCAGTAGTATGATGTAAAGTTGTATGAGAAAAACCTAAGTTGAAAAGTCAATTTGGCAAACACATCTTTTCGGCAATTCATTATCGGGTCAGAACAATTGCACGGATAATGAAATAGTCGAGTTGGACAGGGTTAAGCGTCTTATGATTAAAACTGTACCTTTTTACGCCACCTACACGACGAGGTCATTGTGCAGGGGGAGGGAGGGAATTAGGATAGGCTGTGAGTATTGGTTATGGGTCGAGTACGCGGAGTAAAAATTACTGTGACGTGCACAAAGTAAAATACTTTTACCAGGAGGTGGGGGCGATATGCGATCATCACGTGGTATCGGCCACGGAAGTGATGGTGCTTGTATTCGCGTCTCTTAAAAATACGCCTAGCCGTATAGCCGCTGCCCAGAATAAGCAGGTGACTGTACCGTTCCGATAATGAATTGACGAAAACACGTGTTTGCCAAATAGACTTTTCAAGTTAAACATAGGAATATTTGAGAAAAAATAAGTTTTAAGTAATAGAGGCTTTTTGAATAAATTAAATGTATAATTAAATCGTGTTGTGAAAAAACGAATCTAGTTTGGAGGCACAAAACCTGCCAAAATTGAAGGCCTCCATGGGTCAGCAAATTTCAGCTAAATCGAGTAGACGGACAAGAGGAACGAACGGCTACGTCTACGGAACTTGGGGATTATTAAGTAAATTTCGTTTTACTTAAAAAACAATTAGTACTTCTTACAGTTCAAGACAAGTCAAGTTTATTAAAGGAAATATGGGCAAACGCCTTTGAAATCCCTATTGGTACATAGTATTTAAGAAATGCACCGGCACAGCCGAAAATTCCTCTTAAGTAAAAAAAATTGCCTAAGGTTGCTGATTACTACTTCCAAGTTTTCGTACATGCGTTAATGCAGTTTTATGAGTACTAATCAATATTTTGCAAACTTTGACATGTTGCCCGAATTCTGGGCCATATTGCAGTTTGGAGGTACAAAACCAGCCAAATTTGAAGGCTTCCATGGGTCAGCAAATTTTAGCTAAATCGAGTAGACGGACAAGAGGAACGAAGAGGAGACTGTGCAGGACTCTGTGGGGCCGCAGTGATGCGAGTTACAGACTCTAAAGAAATGTTTGACGAAATGTACTTCAAAACAACAGCAGTGGTTAGTCTGTAGGAGCCTGC